AATTAACAAGTGGTGAGTTTTGAATATTTCTTGCTCTGGTTTTAATAGAATTTATTTAATTGTAAGTTTATACACTTTTACTTTTCATAACGGCCGTATTTAACAACCAGTTCACAAAATTCCTGAAAATTTAACAATTGACTCTCTCAAGCTGGGACAGGCTGGCCCCTGCACGCCCCTGGTGACTCGTGCTGGTCTTTGCGTGAGCAGCAATGTGGAATGGTGCCTCTATAGTTTATTTTTACTTTGGTCTCTAGTAATCAAATCTATCAATTCAATTCCGGAATTGCATTATTTTGCTCAAGTTCAGGAGGGGGATAAACACGTTTTGTTGAGCCCAGAAGTCACTGGGTTTTGTTTGAAAAGTATTTCGTCAGATTCTATGATATCTTTGGCAGCTCAGGTGGCTAGTGGCCCCACATCACCTTTCAAGAACATCTCGTGACTGTCAGCTCCCTGGGAACTGGGCTCGGGTGGCCACAGATCTGGGAAAAGCCAACTGGCTGCTGCACTTCCCATTCGCGCTCGTGAGAATTTCTCGTGCTCACAGCTTGATGAGTCCTGGCACGTACAGGTTCTCCATTTCCCTTTTGGCCTGACCTGTATCCACGGCTCATCCTTACGACATATTTCTGGGTGGTGGTGTCCACCTTACGAATTTCAGCACAGATTTTATGCCTTGATGAACCACTTCCGAGCCACTGATGCATCAAGAAAACCTTTTTATGGAAGTACATCACATGTACAGAAAAGCACATATAAGTGAATAACTCGATGAATTTTCCCAACCTGAACACCTGCATAATCCGCCCCCAGATCGAGAAGCAGAACATGTCCAGTGCCCTCTCCTAGTCACTCCCCCCCAAGGGGGGCACCCGGATCTTACCCGTATCCATCACCGTAGATTCATTTTGCCTGTTTTGTTTTTTCTATAAATGGGATCTTTGTGTCTGGCTTCTTTCACTCAAAATTATGAGATTCATCCATATTGTCTATATCTGTAGTTCATTCTTTTAAATTTTGCATAAAAATACACAAGTTTTGCATGTTCTGGATACGAATAAACCACGGTGTATTTATCCATCCTACAGTTGATGGGCATCTTGGTTGTTTCCATTTGGGGCATTATGAATAGTGGTGCTGTGAACCTTCTCAAACAGGTCTTGAGCGAACAGATGCAAACATTTCTGTTGGATATTTACCCAGGAAGGGAAAGGCTGGGCATACCCTTGATCCATTTTCACAGATGGGGCAATAGCATGATGCAACACTAACCAAGAGAGATGCTAATCCAGCAAATGGGAATGACAAAGAGCAAAAGAGCAGTAGAAGATATTCATTGACATGTACTGGCTAATGCCGTTCAGGAGGCACATTCGTAGTCTTTAGGGAAATTTAAATGGAATCTTATTATGGAAGCCTACATTTCAATTTTATGAACTGTATGCAAACAAAATCACTTTGTGGCTTCTTGCTTTGAAGCAACCTGCCCACCTGGAGCCCACATTCTGAGTCATCTGCCCCTAAGTCCAGACTCCTCAGCCCTGCACGGCTGCTCAGGTGCAGCATGATGCTCTCCCTGTTTGCCGTGCAGCATGGATTGACCTGGACTAAATGCCCCAGTGCCATCTCCCCTTCGGGCCTCTGCCCAGGCTGTGCCCACTGCACAAAATGCCCTCCTCACCACCCAAAGTCTAGCTCTCATGTCTCTAATGGAGAGCTGAGGCCAGACCCAAATATCTCTCCTCCAGGAAGGGTCTCGTGACCCTGGGTCAGAATTAAACCCTTCCCCTCCTGTGTTCCCATTCCAGCTTTAGATAGTGGCCATTGTCTCTTCAACCTCCTGGTGAGACATCCCAGGGGGCAGCTCAGGGCCAGACCACAGTGAGTACCAGAGGCTAATTAAGTTAGCCATTGACAGTATGGACAGCCATCCATCTCTGAAGACTTACCATGTGGCAAGGTTCTTTACGTGGCTTTTCTTCCACGATCTTTGCAACCACCCTGTGAGGCGTATTCTCATTTTACAGATGGGGAAGTGGGAGCACAGAGAGGTGAAGTAACTTTCCCCAGGTCACACAGCAAGCAAGTGGCAGAGCCGGGATTTGAACCCAGGACACCCGGGCCCAGCAGAGCCCACATTCTTAGCCTGTTTTGCTGTGGTGTGAGGTGTATGTAGTCTGATGAAGGTTGCGAGGGGTGGAGATTGGGACTGCCTTAGTTCATTCAGGACACTATAACAGAATACCATTGGCTGGGTGGCTTATAAACAACAGACATTTATTTCTCACGGTTCTGGAGGCTGGAAAGTCCAAGATCAAGGTGCCAGCAGATTCCGTGTCTGGTGAGAGCCCCCTCCCTGGTTCATAGATGCCCTCTTGTCACTGCGTCCTCACATGGCAGGAGGGGCAGGGAGCTCTCTGGGGTCTCTTATGAGGACACTAATCCCATTCACGAGGCCTCCATCCTTATGACCTAATCATCCCCCAAAGCCCCCACCTCCTAAAACCATCACTTTGCAGGGTAGGATTTAAACAGATGAATTTTGCGGAGACACAAACATTCAGTCTACATGGGAAAGTGATCCGTAACACGTGTGGGGATGTCATTTGGATGTGGCTGTTTCTGTGAGCTGTCTTTTTCCCTTAACCTCCCACTGTGGACATTTCCATACCATTAAGTATTCATGCTCCACATTTTAATGCCCACCTAATATTTTAAATTTTTATTGAGCCATAATTTACATTCCATAGACCACCTTAAGTTGTACAGCTCCGTAAGTGTGGCAAATGCATACCCTTGAATAACCACCACCCAAAACAAAATGTAGAATATTTCCCTCCTTCCAGAATATTCCCTCGTCAACCCTCCATGCTCAGAGCCAACCACTAATCTATTTTCTATCACTATAGATTAGTGTTATGTGTTCTAGAATGTTCTATAAGTGCAACCGGGCAGAACATCATCATTTGTGTCTGGCTTCCTTCCCTCTGCACAATGCATTTGAGATTCACCCACGTTGCTGTGCATTTCTGCAGTGCATACCTTTTTCATTGCTGTATAGTATTCCCTCGTGTGGCTGGACCACAGTTCATTTTGTACACTCACAGTCGATGGACATTCAGTGATGGCAGGTGGAGCTGCTGTGAACTCATTCACACCCACGGCTGTTGTGGATATTTTGTAGGATGTCACTCCCTCTCCCTGAACCTTCTCTTGTTGGGGGGACCTCAAGGTGGCTTCCATCATGGAGCGCTTCTAAGGATGTTGCAACGATGCTCCTTGTACCTAATCACAGAGAAGAGGGGGGATGAATCATGGGGGTCAGGGGCATAATGGCAGCCAGTGTGGCTGGAACAGGGCGAGTGATGGGGGGACAGGAGGTGACGGGGGCTGAGGACCCAAGGAGGATGTTGGCTCTTGTGCATTTTGCAGGAAAGGCAGCAAAGCCGTGGGAGCCGTGGGATTTTTCTAGCCTCCAAGTCACCCAACCTGGAGAACTGCTTGTCTCATGTCGCTTTAATTTGTGTGATAATAAAGACATTATTTAAGCCAAAAAAAAAAAAAAAGTGGGGAAGCATTTAAGATCAGCACAGGGTGTGTTGCAGGAGACAAGAGTGGAAGTCAGGAGACCCGGGGGTAGAACCAGTCACCCCACAGAGAAAGGGCCGAGGGCAGCTCTTGAACCCTCGTCTCAGCCAGCATAAGCCTGTTGACACCACGGCCGCGACCATCTGATAATAGAATCTGCTCGGAACAGCTGCCTGGTGACAAGTATAATAAAGCGTATTAATGAGGCCATTATTACTCCCTAATTAAAAGCTAATAACTAAGAGTTAATTGCCTTTCAAAGATGAAGCCAGGCAGGGCTGGGATATATCTGTTTGCCTTTGCTTGCCTGGCTGGGCTGATATTCGGGAACTAATTAATTGAATCAAATCTTACAGAAAACTAATAATCTCCCTGTGTCGTTCGGGCCGTTGAATTAAAAGGTGTTGGCTGCGCGTCTGGGCGTCTTCATTCGGAGGTGTCCCGGGTCCTCCGTTCCTGCGGGGGAGGCTGGGAGACGGGCGAGGCGAGCGGGGTCCGGGGCTACTCGTCCCCCAGATTCTTGCTCATGCTGGACCGGTCGGGGCAAAGGTGTGGATGGGGGCGCCAGGTCAGGCTGTGCAGAGGCTGTTCCAGGGGCCAGATGGACCCAGCTGAATCTCGGACCCATTTCCATCATTACTATGATCATTACGTTTTATTTTGAAATAGCTTAAGAGTCACAAGAAGTTGCAAAAAATAGTACAGAGGAGTCCTGCGTGCCCTTCACCCAGCCTCCCCCATGACTATATTTTACACGACCACAGGGCCGTATCGACACTCAGGCACAAGCCTTATGAGGATTTCGCCATTTTTTAAAAAGATTTTAAAAATCTTTTTAAATTTTTTAAATCTGTATTCCTTTTTTTTAAAAAATTGGGATGTAAGTTACATCTCAGAAAATCCAGCCTTTTAAAGTGTACAGTTCAGTGGTTTTTATTCTATTCACAAGGTTGTGCATCCATCACCTCTATCTAGTTCCAGAACATTCTGTCACCCCAAAAAGCAACTCTATCCCCATTAGCAGTCACTCCCCATCCCCCTCCCCCAGCTCCTGACAACCATGAACCCACTTTCTGTCTGTGGATGTGCCTGTTCTGGACATTTCACAGCAAGGGGATCACACACCTTGTGTCCTTCTGTGTCTGGTTCTCTCACTGAGCATCGTGTGTTCAGGGTCCGTCCACGGTGTGGCTGTGTCAGGGCCTCACTCCTTTTCCTGTACAAGTTTTATGTGGACATGATTTCAATTCTCTTGGGTCTGTATTCATTTTTAATTGCAGAGTTGTTTTTTTTTAATTGCACAGATAAAATGCAGAGAGGCCACGGGACACGATGAATGAAGCTACAGGCTTTCTCCACCTCCTGCCCCTCTCCTCAGCCTGGACCCTCCTCTGGGGGTGAGACCCCACCACATTTGTGGGGCCCCTACAACACGGGTCTGTGCGTTTACAGGTGCCTACGTGGCCCCGCGGAAATGCGACACCGTCTTGAGACGCACTCTCAGTTCTAATGAAATTTGGCCGTCTTCCTTGTTTGTTTTTCTAGAAAATCCCCATGGACTTACCTCCCTCTTGTTTCGTTCCTTTTGCTCTTACAAATTGAGCTGTAACTTAAACACAAAACAGCGCTCTCGTCCTAAGAGTACACTCGATGGTTTGGCATCGATACGCACACCTGGTTACCACCCTCCTGATAATACAGAACAGAGGTTGGCAAACTGGCCCACTGGACAAATTGGGTCCCTTCCCGCGTTTGTGCAGCCTGCAGTCTAGGAATATTTTTACTTTTTTCTTTTCAGAAATTTTTTTTAATTTTTATTTTTGTGAGGAAGATAAGCCCTGAGCTAACATCTGCCAATCCTCCTCTTTTTGCTGAGGAAGACTAGCCCTGAGCTAACATCCATGCCCATCTTCCTCTACTTTATACAGGACACCGCCACAGCATGGCCCGACAAGCGGTGTGTCAGCGCGCGCCCAGGATCCGAACCGGCGAACCTCTGTCCGCTGCAGCGGAGCGCGTGCACTTAACTGCTTGCGCCACTGGGCCAGCCCCTATTTTTACATTTTTAAATGAATTTTTAGAACACAAAAGAAGACTAATATCTCACCACACATGCAAATTGTAGGAAATTCACATCTCTGTGCCATAAATAATGTTTAACTGGAACACAGCCACGCACATTCGTTTTCCCTCCTCCTCTGCTCACACTTGATCATATTCTAACTTTTGGTCAGTCGTTTATTTATGCAACAGATATTTCATGCCCTTCCTGTGCTGGCTGAAACTGGGGCATCAAGCCTGGCTTTTATGGAGCCCCCGGTTTGGGGGAGATAGAGGCAGAACCAGACACCCCTATTATGAACATGCCTCACGAGGGTCCTTGACATCTGGTCCCTGCTGACCTTCTCCGCCTGATTCTCCGCTTTTAATCCATTTACGTTTAATGTAATTATTGATAGAGAAGGACTTATTATTGCCATTTTGTTCATTGTGTTCTGGCTGTGTTGTAAATCCCTTCTTCCTTGCTTCTTATCCTTCTGCCTTTTTTGTGTGTGTTTTTTGATGTCCTTTGGCATCCGTATACCTTGACTCCTTTATCCTGCTCTTTTGTGGAATTGCTACAGGTTTTCCCCTTGTGGTTACCACGAGGCTTACACAAAATATCTTAAAATCAGAACGCCCTCTTTTAAACTGGTAACAACTTAACTTTGATAGCGTTCCTAAACTTTATACATTTACTTCTCCTCCCCCTCACATTTGGAGTTATTGCTGTTACAGTGTACATATTTTTTACATTTGTATCCAATAACAGAGTATTGTAGTTATGGTTATTTTTACTATGTTTGTTTTTTAACTTTTAAATCTAGTGTCGTCTGTGAATTACACATCACAATCGCCGTATTACAGGATCTAACTTTGGCCACATATTTGCCATTACCAGTGAGTTTTTTTTTTTTTATTATTGATGTTTTAATGGTTTCTAACATTGTGAAATTTTGGGTTGTACCAGTGAGTTTTATGCTGCCTTCTTCTGTTTTACGATGTTAATTAGCATCTTTTTGCTTCCACTCAAACTCCCGTCATCACGTCGTGTAAGGCAGGTCTAGCCGTGATAAACTCCCTCAGCTTTTATTTATCCGGGAAAGTCTTTCTCTCTCCCTCATTCCTGAAGGGCAGCTTTGCCAAATACAGAATTCTTGGTTGACAGTGTTTTTCTTCCAATATTTTGAATATATCATCCCGTTCTCTCCTGGCCTGGGAAGCTTTTGTTGTGATATCCACCTGTAGGCTCATAGGGGTTCCCTTGTGTGTACGCGTGGGGCCACCGGCTTTGCTCTGCAGACCATCGGCTCTGCGGGCCGGGTCTCCCCTCGAGTGTTGCTGGGCCACACAGCCTCCCAGGTGTCCCCTCTGGTCGGGAGGGGCTGGGAGCCACACTCAGCAGTGGGGGTGGGTGGGGGAGCTCTGAATGAGCCCCCTGCCTGGGTGGGGCCAGACCAGGCTCCGGGGCTCCATCTGGGGGCCTGAATCAGGCAGACCTGCGCCCCACCAAGTTCTCTGGGCAGACTGTGCTGTCACTTTGGCTCTGCGGGTGAGCTGGCTGGGACGACTTCTTGGACGCTGCAGGGGGGAGCTCCGTCTGCCAAGGTCTGAGTGCTGGTCATTGCGAGCCCCTCCCCTCTTCTCCATCCCAATCTTACTCCCAGTGGTCAAGCCCCGCAGATTCCCCTGCACTCTCTGAATGTGGTCAGTGCGTGGTACCCTTCTGATGTCGTCTATCTTGGTCTCTGTGGTGCAGGGGCTGCTTCAACCTCACCCACATGTTCTAGAATTTTCTCGGCGGTGTCTTGTCTGTGAATAGTTGTTCTTGGGAGGGGGATCCAAGTCGGGAATGACGTATGTCTCCACTTGGTGATGTCACCTCCCTGATTCTCCGCTTTTACACTCCAGGCGAGACTACTTGCAAATCTCCGAAGTCACCTCCCCAGGATCTTTGCACCTGCTGTTCCCTCTGCCTGGAACACCGGCCCGTCTTCTTTCCCCGTCTCTCTCCTGTTTCTCCTTCGGCTCTCAATTTGGATGTCACCTCCTCCAGGAAGCCCTCCCTGCCCCCTGATTTTGCTGTGATGTGTATCCACCTCTCTGAGCTCTGGTTCCCAAGAACAGCTGTGTCCACTGCTTAGATCTCGCCCTGTGCGTGTGTTTTTGAGTGTGCGAGAGTAGTCTGAAATCCCTAGAGGATTCATGGAGAGAGGAAGAAGTATTTGTAAACGGGGGTGAAAACCAGACAGGGCTGTGTGGGACAGGAAGAGGGCTAGCGGGCTGAAGGGCCAGCCCGAGCAGGGGCCTGGAGGCGGCACTTGCCAGAACATCGGACGCGGTCCTCACCTTGCTTTGGTGATGCTCTGCATCTGTGCATCGTGGCTACCTGCCAGGGCCCGGGGCTCAGCAAGAACAATTAGCAAGTGATGGATTGTGCTTCTGGTCACCTTGTTGTTGGCAAAGCTAATTGTTTAAATAAAGCTCCCTCCAGGTTCGTGGGCAACGCACGAGGTGGCTTTTCCCATCTTGGCCCCATGAAGTCCAAGTGCGCCCATTGGGGCCACAGTGAGCCCTCAGAGGTCCCCTGAGCTGGCTCGTTCTCGGTGTCGAGGTCTCCCGGGAAATTATTTGCTCTCTGGTTGAGTCTTTGCTGCTGGGAAGATTTGCCATCTATAGGACCACAGACCTCAGTCCGTCTTTTTGTTTTTTAACTTTTTATTTTGAAATGAGTGTAGATTCATAAGAAGTTGCAAAGACAGTACGAAGAGAAGCTGGATACGCTTCACCCAGCTTCCTCCGATGGTTACATCTTACATAACCGTTAGGATAACATTGACGCAATGTGTCTAGTTCTATGCAATTTTATCACACGCGTGGATTCTTGTAACCATCACAGCAATCCTGACACAGAACTGTTTCATCTCCACAAAGATCTGCCCACAGTTACTCCTTCACAAACATGCCATTCCTAACCCCTGCCAACCACTGATCTCGTCTCCGTTTCTGTGATTTTTTGTTATTTTGAGAATGTTATGCAAAGAGCCTCGTGCGGTCTGTTGCACTTTGCGATCGGCTTTTTTTCACTCAAAGTAAAGCCCTTGAGATTCCTCCAGGCGTCGCCTCTATCAGTGCATTGTCCCTTTTCACTCCTGAGTAGTATTCCATGGTCTGGGTGGGCCACGGTGTGCTTAACCATCCGCCCTTTGCGGGATATCTGGGTTGTTTCCAGTTTTTGCCTGTTGTGCATAAAGCTATTACGAACATCCATGTTCGTGTTTCTGCGTGAACATAAGTTTTCGTTTCTCTGGGATAAATGCCCAGGAGTACGATTGCCGGATTGTATGGTGTTTAGTGTTTTAAGAAACTGCCAAGCTATTTCCCAGAGGGGCTGTACCATTTTACATCCCCACCAGCAGAGCGTGAGATCCACTTTCTCTGTCCTCAGAGCATCTTTTAGCTCCATTCAGGCTTGTCCTGGAAGCCCCACCTTCCAGCCTTTTGTGGGGGTTCCTCCCACAAGGTCCCAGCGGAAGGTCTTGGAAGGGGAGAAAATGGGTTTGTGATTCTATTTTAGGAATTCCATTTATTGCCTTCGGTTTCTTTCTCCCTGGAGTTGCGCTGTGGGCTGAGTATCTGTGTCGCCCCAGAATTCCTATGTTGCAGCCCTAACCCCCAATGGGATTAGCAGGTGGGGGCCTTTTGAAGTAATTGGGTTTGGATGTGGTCGTGAGGTTGGAGCCCCCGTGACGGGATTAGTGCCCTTAGAAGGGGCTGCAGACACGGGAGTTCTCTCTCTGTGCCACGTGAGGACACAGCAAGAAAGCAGCTCTCTGCAAACCAGGAAGAGAGATCTCCCCAGAATCCCACCAGCCTGGCCCCCTGATCTCAGACTTTCCAGCCTCCAGAACTGTGAGAAATAAATATCTGTTGTTTAAGCCTCCTAGTCGACGGTATTTTGTCACGGCAGCCCGAACAAACTCTGACAGGCTGGAAAGCTTCCAGCCCCCGGAGCTCTGTGCCTTCCTAAGCTTATGGGATCCAAGATGCTCCCAGCCGCCGGCCAGAAAATCCAAATGATCAGGCGCCAGAATTTGAAGCAAATGAAAGAGTTCAATGAAAACTTCGTCTTAAAAATCAAAATATGAATATTGCTTTATTTTATCCTCCAGTCCATGCAGTGTAATTTACTATTGCAACTCTATGCAAATTCTTAAAGAAACCGGCAAGGGTTTGGGGCAATTTGGGCTTATTGTCTCCAGACAAATTGCACATTGCTAGAATGACACACACCTCTCTCTGCCCCGCTGTTTTTTGCAAATAGTCATGGGACATTTTTGCAAAAAAAAATAATAAAATTGAAATTCCGTTAGTTTTCCCAA